TCCTTGGAATGTTTGGAGGGGGCCATGAGGGGGCTTGGAGGGGTCATTGGAATGTTTGGAGAGGGTTCCTGGGGGGTCCTTGGACCATGTGGGCGGTCCATGGAGGGGCTTGAGGGGTCCTTGGAATGTCTGGGAAGGGGGTCATGAACCTCCTCAATCACCGGAAAAAGGGCCTTGGACCCTCCCCCATCATTGGGAATGGGATCGCGGATCCCTTCCCAGGAATGGAAGAAGGATCACGACCCCTCCCCCAGGAATGGGGGAGATGGATCCCCTCAACCACTGGGAAAGGAGTCACGGGTAACGAGGGTCGCGCCGGTAACGAAGAACGACACCAGACACTTTATTTTGACACTTTGAGCACTTTATTAACGATTTTAGGAGCCAAACCGGCCTCCCCGGAGCCCCTGCGGTGCCCGCGCGGTCCCTCGGCGTCTCCCCGTCCCCGTGCGGACCCTGCGGAGCAAAAAAGCGGCGGTGAAACGGCGGCGCCGGGACTCCTCGGAGCCCCCCGGGCAGGGTGGGTCTGTCTGTCTGTCTGTCTGTCCCGGCGTGTGAGGGTGGGACCGGCGGACGCGACCGCCGGCACCGAAGACTTCGCGCCGGTCTCTGCTTTCCCTCCGCACATCACGGACCCCGGCACGGGCCCGCCGGGGCCCGCCAAGAACGGGAGGAGCCCTCCCGGTGTCCCCCCCACGGACCCTCCCGGTAAACTCCGAGCCGCCCCCCCAGTACCGACCCTACTCCAGTCTCGCCGCCCTCCCGGTACGGAAAGAACTTGTGAGGGTCGTACCTGGCACTATATAACCTCGGTTGTGGGCGGGGCCGCAGCGCTACCCACCAATCAGCGACGGCGCGCGTGCGCAGCAGCCAATGGCATTCCCGCAGAGAGCGAGGGGCGGGGCTTAGCCCCACAGAGAGGCTTCCAATCAGAGGCGGAGGCGCGCGGGCACGGGCCAATGGAGGCCCGGGGAGGGAGGGGTTGTAGAACCGGAAGAGAAGGCAAACCGGAAGCGGGGCCCTGAGACCACGTGGGAGCGCGATGGGGATTGGGGGGAAAATCAACCGGCCCCGGACGGTGAACGGAGGGTCCGGGAGGGTCCCGGGGGGGCCTGGTGGGGTCCAGGGGGTCGAGAATAAACGTGGGGGTGTCGCGTGTTCCGGTGGGATCGGGAGGCGCGGGGTGGGGGATGTTCCGGTGCCCGTTAACCCCCCGTGTCCCCCCCAGGAGCTCCGTAAGAAGCTGTTCAAGCGGCGGCGGGAGCTGGCGCGGGGGCGGCGGCAGAAGCGGCGGTGAGACCCCCCCCTCCACCCTTTCCCCCCGCGGTGCCCCCCCACAGCCGGTGCCGGTGGCTGAAGGGGGTCCCTGGGGTGTCTCCGGTGCAGGTCGGGCCCGTCGGTGTCGGTGCCGCCCCCGCTGTGGGGGAAGAGGCGGCGGAAGGAGCTGAAGCGGCTCCGGGGGGCGGCGAAACGGGGTGAGAATTCTGGGGGGGGGGGCACCGGAGGTGTCCCGCGGGGGGGTGGGGACACGACTGAGGACACCTCTGACCCCTCCCCCGGTGTCCCCCCAGCGCTTGAGGCGGCGGCGGCCGCGGAGAGAAAACCGGAGATGGAAACGCAAAAGAGGAAAAGCAACGATGTGGAGATGGAAGAGGAGGAGCCCCTGGGGACAGCGGGGACACCCCCGGGAACAGCAGAGACACCCCCGGGGACATCCCCGGGCACCGGTGGCACCTGACCCACACCGGGGTCCCTGGTGTCCCCTCCCCCTCAGCAGTGGCACTGGTGTCACCTCCCTGGCACCAGTTTGTCACTGTGGTCACCAGTGTCACCTCCCCAGCACTGGGGCCACCTGTCCTTCACTGGGATCACCCGACCCTCACCGGGGTCACCTGAGTCCCACCAGTGTCACCAGTTTGTCACTGGGGTCACCAGGGGGGCACCAGTGTCACCTCCCTCTCCCCAGTGTCACCAGTTTCTCACTGGGGTCACCAGGGGGGCACCAGTGTCACCTCCCTCTCCCCAGTGTCACCAGAGGCACTGGGGACACCAGCGTCACCTTCTTGGCACCAGTTCATCCCCAGGGTCACTGGTGTCCCCTCCTCAGTGGCACTGGGGACACCTGGCACCGGAGTCCCAGCGGGGTGCCCAGTTTGTCACCGGGGTCACTTCGGGGGCTGATTCCCAATTGTTGCTGTTTATTGTTATTATTTAATGATCCATTAAAATATTCTCGTTTATTTTCTTTGTCCATCGTTGTCGACGCCATCCCCAGAGAACAAGGAGACCGAGGCTGGAAAACTCCCGGGTGGGGCTTTGGAGCCCCAGTGCCCCCAGTTCACACCAGTATCCTAGTCTGTGTCCCCACTTCACACCAGTGACCCCAGTCTGTGTCCCCAGTTCAAACCAGTGACCCCAGTTTGTGTCCCCAGTTCACACCAGTGACCCCAGTCTGTGTCCTCAGTCCCTCGCCACTGTCCCCAGTTCACACCAGTGTCCCCAGTTCACACCAGCAATCAAGTCGGTGGCTTCTGTCCGTGTGTCTGTCCGGGGGGGAGAGGGAGAACCTCATGGGGGGAAAGGGGACACCCCAAGGGGGGGCGCCTTTCCCTGTGACACCGGGGGAGGGGGGCGGAACCTCCGCAGGGCGGAACGATCGTGCGCGGCCGCGGGCGCGGAGGGAGAGCGCGGGGTGAGGCCCCTCCCGGCGCATGCGCAGCCGCCCCGGCCCGGCCGCCGCCGCC